GGTGCGTGGTAGGGAGGGGGGAGAAGGGAGAAGGTGATCGTGGAGGAGGTGGAGAAGCTGGTGCGCAGAGGAGCGAAGAGAGAGAAGGAGGGGGAGAAGGGAAGCTGTGTGAATTAGGAGGGGGAGAAGGGATTGAAGGAGGGGGGACAGAAGGAGCTGCGCTGGCGAGAGGAGGCGGAGAGAATGTAACAAGGTGGTGGAGGAGGGCGTAGAAGCTGCTGGAGAAGGAGGAAGCGGGAGAAGGTGAGACGTGGTGGAGAAGGAGGATGGGAGAAGCTGGTGGAGGCTAGGAGGAGAGAAGCTGGTGGAGAAGGAAGGAAGGGCAGAAGAGGGGGAGAATGGAGCCGTTCTCCCTCTCTCTTCTCCACCAGCTTCTCCCCTCCTTCTCCACCACCTCTCTTCTCCCCCTCCTCCCTCTCCACCAGCTTTCTCCCTCCTCCTCTCCACCACCGTCTTCCTTCTCCCCTTCCTCCTCCACCAGCTTCTTCCTTCCTCCTTCCTCACACCACCTTCTCCCTCTTCCCTTCCTTCTTCCACCAGTTTCTCCCTTCTCCCTTCCTCATTCCTAGCCATATTGAGTCGGCCATACGCCTGCCGTGCGTATAGCCATACTTGAATCTTATCCACACGGCCGCCGTGCGTATAGCCATATTGAGTCCGCCACACGGCCGCCGTGCGTATAGCCATATTGAATCTTATCCACACGGCCGCCGTGCGTATAGTCCCGGCCGTTATGTTTGATGCTCACGCATATGCAAAACTAACCCAACCAGGCTGTGTGACTAACGTCAATACAGCGTATTCTAACCCTAGCAATACCGTTTCTTGGAGCTAATGCAAAACTAGATACAATAATGTAACCCAAACCCAAGAGGATAGGGCCAATTGCCTATCCTCTTGGGTTTGGGTTACATTATTGTATCTAATGCAAAACCAACGCAGATATCTTTTTAGAATAACTAGTTTTAATTGATTCTACACCATGCGTGCATACCACGCGACACACACCCTGTGTTCTCTCTTGATCGCCTTGTTGAGTTGCCGCGGGTCAAGACAAATCCTCAAATCACCGTTCGGTTTCGTGACACACACTAGACAATTCACCCAGTCTGTTGGTACGTCTACCACTTCGATAATGTCTAGGTCTATCATGCGCTGTAATTAGTTTCACTGTCGAGTGTTTCACGGCTGTCGGTCTCCCGTGTTTATCTGTTCTGTCTGGGTATACCTGTCTGTATACATATACTGGCATTACGTCGGCCTGAGCACCACTGTCTATTTTGCATTTTACACTGTAGATGCGTTTATTGTCGGTCCTGACAATTATGTTGGCGAATGCCTGATCTTTTGGCCCATCTTTGTATATAGTCTCGATCTCTACTGCCTCCAACAGAAAACCGTCAAACTGCTCAGTGACGTCATGTACCTGTCCACTGTCAGTGTAGTGTTTAGTCTGGCTTCTCGGTAAGATTCGCTCACCATACGGCCTTGATCTGCTTGTGGCCCCTGTTGCTGCCTGTTGTGCTTTCTTTCTAGCAATGCAAACTCTGGCCCAGTGTCCAACTTTATGACAAAAGTTGCACTGTGAGCTAACAGCTGCTGTCGGAACGGCTAACAACGGACACTTGCTGTCACGTGCATGTGCTCCACCACAGTTCCAGCACCCCTTATTTGGCATGTCAACATGAGCAGACTTGTTATACTATTCTAGGCTTTGTATCGCCCGCACATTTACGTATGACTTTATTATTTAAGCCGTGCACTCTCATTGCACCTTGTATCTCACTCATTTGGTTGAGTGTTGCCTCATAACCTCTTACCATGGCTATTGCCTGGTCAAGTGTTAAAGTATTGTCTCTTGCAATTAATTTCCTCTGAATATCTTTGCTGTGCACACCTGCTATTAGAGTGTCCAACAGTTGTTCGTCTGTGTCGGTGTACTCACACTCCCTTGACACAATCCGTGCACGCGTCATGAATGCGTTCACGGTCTCGCTTGGGTCTTGTGTCAATGCACGTAGTTGAAACCTGGCTACTCTAAAATTAGACTTTGGCTTAACGTAGCTTCTGAACTTCTCCCAGTGTAGAGCAAGGTCTGAGGCTTGTGCAGCTGTCAACTCCCAACTCTCCCGAATGTCTCTGCCCTCTTCACCTATCCACAGCATCAAATACTGGGTTTTCACTGCGTCAGATTTACGTTCCAGTGGGCCTTTAAATATAAACTCACATGTCTGCTGAAATTTCCTGAATGCCTCTGGGAGGTTATTTGCATTCCAGTCCATGGAGGGTATTGGTATGCCTGTGAGCTCCGTCATCTTTGTTCCGTGTTGCGTGTTTCACACCTCAACGAGTCCTGTATATTCCTCCACAACTGCGTACGCAAGTCTATGTTACCAGTGTGAGGTCAGTCGCTGTGCTGTACTTGCAATCCCTATGTCAAGTAGGTGTACCATACTAAGGCTTTTTCGTCTTTGCCGTTAGCAAACTGCTGCCATTGTGACGTGACGTACTTCGTTTCTATCTTCTGACGCCATGTTATGTTTGATGCTCACGCATATGCAAAACCAACGCAGATATCTTTTTAGAATAACTCGTTTTAATTGATCCTACACCATGCGTGCATACCACGCGACACACACCCTTGTCACGAAACCGAACGGTGATTTGAGGATTTGTCTTGACCCGCGGCAACTCAACAAGGCGATCAAGAGAGAAGACAGGGTGTGTGTCGCGTGGTATGCACGCATGGTGTAGAATCAATTAAAACGAGTTATTCTGAAAAGATATCTGCGTTGGTTTTGCATATGCGTGAGCATCAAACATAACACCAACAACAGGCATTAATATATAAAATGATGCACAGGTTGAAATCATTATCAATTTCGAAACCGCCCCCCCCCCTCTGTGTTGCTGTCACACGTCATTCGACGCCGCAGCCACTAATAACGGCATTCGGTGAGTGACCTTGCGACTGTACGCAATGGGAAATGACTCTGTTCCTGTAATTTGCGCCATTTCGGCGACAAGCGCATCATTCATTGTACGGAATTTCATTTGTACGCACCTCTGCACATGTTGTGATATATATATATATATATATATATATA